AATGATCTCCGCTCGGGGAGGATGCAATAAATGCCCAGCCTTAGAGACATTTATTGTCTTTCAATTCCAAGCCTTACCGCATTGAATGCGGTCTCATCAAGGGAATAGTGTAATTAAATATTTGCTTTCCCAAGTCGCGTGTCAGTAAGGGCATGCGGTCTTTCTGTTTCTGATGTGACACAATTTGCCACGCGTCCATCCCTTATTGGTTGTGGACCCTGCCTTTCTGTTTCTTCTGACACCAATTGTGTAAGACGAGACCATGATAGCTAACCTGGACTAGCCCAGGCTAATGACCTGTACATCAATAGCTTATACTGGAGCAGAGAAAAAGGTATTTTGGACGGGTACATCTCGGTACCGAGGACATGAATATCTCGGTACCGAGGAAAGGTACATCTCGAGCCGAGGGGAGCTGTACATGATGACCGAGGTACCATACCAGACCGAGGGATACGTGTCGGTTCGTGAAACGTACATGACACGTGTCAAATACCTCGGGGCGAGGGGAGTTGTAAGCCGATGGTGCGTGATATCAGTTAACAGGATTTTTAGTGACGCCGATGACACGTGTCTTCATCTTGGGATATTTCAGAAAAGTCCCATCAGGAACCTATTCTCAATTAAAATTATTGACTTTCAAAGGTGGGTGTCGTCCAGATCCAAACGAGGCCTTAATGGTTGTTATAACTACTAAATGGTGCAATTGAGGTTATGGTGGCAACCTATTGCACCGCACAAAATACACTGTCTTCGACACTTGGCCCTATATTTGTCTCTCACATGCTCTCTTAATATTGACGAGGGTATTTTTGTATTTTCATTCATTTTGGAAAAAAGAGTAAGTTTCTTTTTGAATGCATGCTCAAACAACAATGATATTCTGACCTAATTTACTAATATAATTTGTTGACCTAATTCACTATAACTTTTAGATTAACTGTAGACCCCATCAAACATTAGAACTTAGTGTTGATCCAATAATTCTTATGAAATCACATCATTATGTTAGTAAATTAAATTAAAATTTTAAATCCAAATAGTATTACTCATGCTGAAATTAGACCACACAAGTTTCTTAAGAAGAGTAATGCTATCTAAACCTAAAAATCTGATATAATTTACTGATATAATGATATAGTTTAATATAAATCATTAGATTAACATCAAGTTTTAATGTTTGATAGGGCCTATAGTCAATTCAAAGACCACACTGAATTAGGTCAAATTTTTAAATTTCAACAGCATTATTCTTCTCAAGAATTAGTGGCTCTTTTATTGAAATGATGGTTAGTGTGGTGCTCCCCCAAAGGCAGGTAGATAGTAATTAAGACCAATTGCCACCTCCGTATTAAAGCCAATAGATGGTGGTAGCTAGTAACTGAGGGTGATTTTCAGTAATATGGCATCCCCACTTATAATAAAAGCCTAGTAGATAGTCTTCCACAATGAGATAGTTCTAAGTTAGGCTGCATTCAGGTTGTGTTGAAAGAATACATAACTGCAAATTCAATAGTAGGGCCTCAAGAACGGCTGATATTTGATGAATACTTGTATATATATATTAGTTATTGCCTGCATTTAAAAGCATAAAGTAATAAAAAAAATAATCAACAATAAATATATTTATATTAACATCTAAAATTAAATCACAAAGATAATTATGATGGAGTGGTGGCGACAGTGGCAGCAGTTATAGTGATGAGGGGTAGTTGAGGTGGTGGGATGGCGGTGCTAGTGGTAACGATGGTGGTGATGGGGTGATGGGGGGGGGGCGGTGATTGTGGGTTTTGTGGCAAATGTGGTGATAGGATGGCGGTGATGATAATAGTGATGGTGGTGGGGGTGACAGTGATGATGGTAGTGATAGTGGTGATGGTGGTGGGGCGGTAAGGGTGGTGGTGAGGTGACAGGGGTGATGATGATGGGCGCGGTGGAGGAGGGGGTGGGGGTGATAGTGGTGAAGTGCTTTTAAACACTACTTTTTTTTTTTAAGTACTCATGAAAAATTATAAGTTCTATAAATACTTTTAAAAAATCATCTCAAACATAGATTTAGAAGCCTATTTTTCGTATTAAATATGGGGTGATAATATTACTCGTCAAATTAACTTTAAAATAAAATTTAAAGAGATCTCAACCGCAAAAAATAAAAATTATTTTACTTATCTTTTAAAATTTAAATTATAAAATTATTATTATATAGACATATATATACTAATAATGCACTATGTGTATTACACGTGAAGATTTTTGTTGCAACATTGATAAAATATATACAAAATCTAATTATGTAGTTACATTATATATTATCTCATATTCATCATACGTAAATTGTTTATATTTTTTTCATAACTATAAACATCCAATAAACTTATTTTTTATGATTATTTCATTCGAACAACTAAGTAGTAAACTTTGTAGATTTTTCTTCTTTCTTTTTGTCTTCCTTGTGTTTACTTTGTGCATAGTAATTTTTTTCTAAATTATTTTGATTGTGATTTTGTGAATGAAAAAATAAGATAAATATATCCATTTTTCGGCATTGGACATGATATTGTATCAATTGAGCTGTCAACATGTATTAATATTGAATTTTTGGAAAAAAAATAATGTTTTTATATATTATGTTAAGCATACATGACCATTCAAAAGTTTTGTAAAAATAGATAGATTTGTATTAAATGTTAGAAATTATTTTGTTATTTAAATATACAAAGTGATTTAATGATATTTTGTATATTTAAAAATAAAAAGACATATTAACCTTTATAGTTTTTTAGAAAGACAAAATAGTAAATTAAAAGTTTTTCATATTAAAATACTTTTATTTGACGATCTTATCATTTTTTGTTATTAGATTGACAATGAAATTCACTATTAGTTGGTATTTACTAACAATTTAACGGCTATAATATATTATGTCATCAAACAAAATTATTAGTCTTGAGTCGAGCTAACTTGAACTCAGTTTGGATAGCACTCGACTCAAAACGAGTTGAATTTTAACAATTTTTTAGATTTGTTTAAAAAACGAGTCTAAAAAAATTCGATTCGAACTCGCAAAATTCAATTCATTTATGTGCAAAACAATCAGACTACTCGGGCTTGGGTCGAGTTCGACTTGTTTTGGGGTTACCTCGGACTCAATTTATTTTTTAAACGAATTGAGTTTGAATACATTTTTAGGCTTGTTTAGAAAAATAAATTTGACAGATTCGACTCAATTATCGATCCTAATTTAGATATAAAATTAGAGAGAATTTTTAAGTTATTTTTATTTAAATTTATATTTTAAAAAAAATTAAGAATTGGAGAAGCTTTANTCTGATATAATTTACTGATATAATGATATAGTTTAATATAAATCATTAGATTAACATCAAGTTTTAATGTTTGATAGGGCCTATAGTCAATTCAAAGACCACACTGAATTAGGTCAAATTTTTAAATTTCAACAGCATTATTCTTCTCAAGAATTAGTGGCTCTTTTATTGAAATGATGGTTAGTGTGGTGCTCCCCCAAAGGCAGGTAGATAGTAATTAAGACCAATTGCCACCTCTGTATTAAAGCCAATAGATGGTGGTAGCTAGTAACTGAGGGTGATTTTCAGTAATATGGCATCCCCACTTATAATAAAAGCCTCGTAGATAGTCTTCCACAATGAGATAGTTCTAAGTTAGGCTGCATTCAGGTTGTGTTGAAAGAATACATAACTGCAAATTCAATAGTAGGGCCTCAAGAACGGCTGATATTTGATGAATACTTGTATATATATATTAGTTATTGCCTGCATTTAAAAGCATAAAGTAATAAAAAAAATAATCAACAATAAATATATTTATATTAACATCTAAAATTAAATCACAAAGATAATTATGATGGAGTGGTGGCGACAGTGGCAGCAGTTATAGTGATGAGGGGTAGTTGAGGTGGTGGGATGGCGGTGCTAGTGGTAACGATGGTGGTGATGGGGTGATGGGGGGGGGGCGGTGATTGTGGGTTTTGTGGCAAATGTGGTGATAGGATGGCGGTGATGATAATAGTGATGGTGGTGNTCTCTCTCTCTCTCTCTCTCTCTGGCAATGGGGTGTCTGACCTGGTTCTGTTTCTTTGCCCTTGTTTTTCCATGTCTCACAGTTACAGCCAAACAAACCTACCTTGTCCATATGAAACCCAATCAGAAACCATCAACTTATGCCACCCACCACGACTGGTACGCTTCCCAACTCCAATCTGTCACCTCCACCTCCGCAGACTTCCTCCTCTACACCTATACCACCGCCTACCACGGCTTCGCCGCCTCTCTAGATCCCGAAGAAGCCGAATCTCTCCGCCAATCTGACTTCGTCATTGGGGTCTACGAGGACTCCATTTACACCCTTCACACAACCCGTACTCCGGAGTTCCTTGGTCTCGACACAGAGCTCGGCTTGTGGGCCGGCCACAGCCCACAAGAACTCAACCAAGCATCCCAAGATGTCATCATTGGGGTTCTCGACACCGGCGTTTGGCCGGAGTCGAAGAGCTTCGATGACATGGGCATGCCCGCTGTGCCATCTAGATGGCGAGGTCAGTGTGAGTCAGGCATTGATTTCAAGCCTTCCCTCTGTAACAGAAAACTAATCGGTGCCCGGAGCTTTTCCAAAGGCTACCGAATGGGCTCCGGCGACTACCCAAAGAAAAACAAAGAAGTAGAGTCGCCTCGTGACCATGATGGTCACGGTACACACACAGCCAGTACTGCGGCCGGGACACAAGTAGCCAACGCGAGCCTTCTTGGATATGCCAGGGGAACAGCGCGTGGGATGGCTACACACGCGCGTGTGGCCGCCTACAAAGTCTGTTGGCTGACAGGATGTTTCGGGTCCGACATACTAGCCGGTATGGATCGAGCAATTATGGACGGTGTTGATGTGCTTTCTCTTTCACTAGGTGGTGGTTCTGGTCCTTATTATTGGGACACAATCGCCATTGGAGCGTTTACAGCGATGGAGATGGGCATATTTGTTTCTTGCTCAGCTGGGAACAGTGGACCCAGTAAGGCTTCACTAGCTAATTTGGCGCCGTGGATCATGACAGTTGGTGCTGGTACATTAGACAGAGATTTTCCGGCTTATGCTTTGGTCGGTAATGGCCACAAGTTCACGGGTGAGTCACTGTACAGTGGGAAAGGCATGGGTGATAAATTGGTGGGTTTGGTTTATGACAAGGGAAATAATGGCTCTAGTAACTTGTGTTTGGCTGGTTCACTTGAACCGAGCATTGTGAAAGGAAAGGTGGTGGTTTGTGATAGAGGGACTAATGGCAGGGTTGCTAAGGGTGTGGTGGTGAGGGACGCTGGTGGGGTGGGGATGATATTGGCAAACACGGCAGCGAGTGGGGAGGAATTGGTGGCGGATAGTCATTTGTTGCCTGCATTGGCGGTGGGGAGGAAGATGGGGGACTTGATAAGGAACTATGCCAAGTCGGAGGCGAATCCGACGGCGGTGCTCAGCTTTAGTGGAACGGTGGTGAATGTCAAGCCGTCGCCGGTGGTGGCAGCTTTTAGTTCGAGAGGGCCCAATTTGGTTACTCCCCAGATCTTGAAGCCGGATGTGATTGGACCTGGGGTTAACATCTTAGCTGCTTGGTCTGTGCCTGTTGGGCCTACTGGATTAGAGGAGGATACTAGAGAGACTCAGTTCAACATCATATCTGGTAAGCATATACAACGGCTAGATTTTCAATTATTCTTTACTCAATTTGCTGTCTATATGCCTATAGATTGATATTTGTTAGTATAATTATACAGGAAAAAAAAAAATCTTAACTTAAAATTCTGTTAGTTTTACTGGTGTTTCTTATCAAATCTCCGTCCCAAATAATGTTACACAATTTTTCACTATTGGATAAGTAGGTTCCATTAATATTCAATTATGGAGATTGTACCACATCATTTAGAATAGAAAGTAAAAAATTTGATTAGCATAGCATTGAGAAATGAGGTTTAATGGCATTCATGATGGTTATAGTGGTTAAAGCTAAAAGGGCTAGTTGTTGCTTATGTGAAGGGTGGCCATTGAGCTGGTATAGTGAGCTTTAGCACATGTCTAAAGAGAGTACTTTAAGTTAGATCATAAAGTAGTAGATGAATTCTAACTTGAATTTGTCAAAAGTTTAGGCTCTAAAAATACTTGCCGAAAGTAGGTAATATAAATCTAACGTAACTCAAGCGGTAATAAAAATGAGCTATAAATTTAGTCGTCTTAAACTTAAAGATTGACAATCTCTTAAGTCAGGCAACAAGAGATTTATCTTTTATGAATATCTTAGTCTTGACATATATGACTAGATCGGAGAGGAGATTAATTAAGGTGCGTGTAAATTGACCCAGATATTCCTGACCATTAAAAAAAAAAAAAGGTTGGTTATATATGAAAATATATTTATGTAATGTACTGAATGTGTGCAGAAGCCAATAGTTTGAGGCTTTGAGCAGTGCAAATTCATCAAATTGGTCTGAGGTCTGATCGATAGTATGCTATGAACTATGGATACGGATATGAGATACGGATGTGATACAATACGGATACGGTAATAAGACAAAAGTCTAAAAAAATAGGATACGAATACGATTATAATAAAATATATTTAATATTTTTATTATTTTCAACCAACTTAATACTTGTATATTTTAGTAGTTCATTAACACACAGTAAGAAAAATGAGAAATTTTTTTTTAGTTTGAAAAAAATATATATCGTATTATAATGGTATATGCACAAAGTGAAGTGACTAATTAAAGGAATCAAAACTAATATTTACCTAGTATTTAAAAGTATTTTTTGCTAAAATTATAATATAATAGCTTTATTTTATACTCTTTTGACATATAATTNTTATGGTATATGCACAAAGTGAAGTGACTAATTAAAGGAATCAAAACTAATATTTATCTAGTATTTAAAAGTAATTTTTGCTAAAATTATAATGTAATAGCTTTATTTTATACTCTTTTGACATGTAATTGTAGATAATACNATTTTTTGCTAAAATTATAATATAATAGCTTTATTTTATACTCTTTTGACATATAATTGTAGATAATACTTAAGAAACACCCATATGTTTTTGAAGTAATGTGAATTTTTGTTAATGTATGGTATGTGAATTCGAAAAGAGATGTTAAAAATTCAATNAGAAACACCCATATGTTTTTGAAGTAATATGAATTTTTGTTAATGTATGGTATGTGAATTCGAAAAGAGATGTTAAAAATTCAATTTAAAAATTATATATGTTGTTCGACTACAAAAGTATCTGTAAAGTATTCTAATATTTAATTATTATCAAATACGTAAAAGATGTATCCGATACATATTTTTTAGTATTCGACGAATATTGTATCCGATATGGGTACAACAATTTTAACGAAGGATCCGTGTTTCATAGATAGAATGTAAGCACCAAGTGATAATTAATATTTTCATGCACATACAAACCTGATAGTGGATTATGCCATTAGTCTTTCCAATCATTTGTTGGGTGCAGACAGTGGATTTGGGTGCAGATGGTGGATATGTCTGCACGAAAGGCTGTGTGAACTGGTCCTACTCTACAATTTTTTGCCTTATAATGTTGTGGACGGGAAATTCTAATGATCTCCACCGTATTTTGTGGGCTGGACCAACTAAAGACTGTTGATTTTAGAACATAATGTGCTGGAATGGGGACACTAACAGAACTAAGTGGATGAAAGGGGATGTGCGTTGAACATCTTCTAATGTAGACATGCATACCCGAGCCCTTAAATTGATTTGAAGCACTTTTCAACATCTTGGTCTTAAAAAATTCCAAACAGCAGTTACGTTCTAAAAAGGGCATATACTTAGTATACGAAGCTCTCGCCATTGCAGGGTTTGAAGAGAGTTAAATATATACAATTTTACCCTTGCAAGCAGAGAGAAGTTGACAAAAGTTGTTTTCGTGACTCGAACCAGCTTATGCCCTCATGTTATGCTCTGATTGTTCTATTTCTGATTTAGTGTATTTGTGGATCTTATAGGTACATCCATGTCCTGCCCTCATATCAGTGGGTTAGCAGCATTGCTTAAAGCTGCCCATCCAGATTGGAGCCCCAGTGCAATCAAATCCGCACTCATGACTACAGCCTACACACAAGACAACACCAATTCACCACTCCGTGATGCTGCGGGTGCAGTTTCCACTCCATGGGCTCATGGAGCCGGCCATGTAGATCTACACAAGGCACTCTCTCCGGGCCTTGTATATGACACCAAACCAGCAGACTACATTGCATTCCTATGCTCTTTGGATTACTCCATCGAGAATGTACAAGCGATTGTCAAGCGCCCAAATGTTACATGTTCTAGGAAATTTCGTGACCCTGGCCAACTCAACTATCCTTCGTTCGCAGTCCTGTTTGGGAAGTCAAGAGTTGTGCGATACACCCGTGTATTGACCAATGTGGGTGCTGCAGGATCTGTCTATGATGTGGCTGTGGTTGCACCCCCAACAGTGGCGGTGACAGTGAAGCCCACAAGGCTTGTTTTCCGAAATATAGGAGATAAGCAGCAGTATACCGTGACTTTTGTGTCAAAGAAGGGCGCAGATAAGACTGATGCTTTCGGTTCAATTGCCTGGAGCAACACCCAAAACCAAGTCAGGAGCCCAGTTGCTTTTTCATGGACAGGGTTGTTAGCTTAGCATGGTTACAATTGTTAGCTTGCTTGATTTTGAAACCTTCTTTGGTTTTCTATGTCATTGGTCAGTCCATGTTTCGGTGAAGAGAGCTTGGATGGTTCTGAACCCAGTGGGGAGTACACAAGTTGGAAAACTTGGCAAAAGAGGCATCTGAGAATGGGAGGAGAAGTTCCTCTGGAAGTTAAGTTCATTTTCTAGTAAATTTTATGTAATAGAATTAAGGCACTGCCATACTTATACAAAGATGCGTTTTTGTGCAATGGTAAACGTACTCAATTAGTAGCTTAGCTCATAAGACCTTGTTGGATCCATACCGAATGTGATAACCATCTAAGAAAATCAGGTGTGTTCAGATGCTGAATTCACAGAGGTTCATAGCTAAACCACCTTAGTTTGGTCTCTCTCTCTCTCTAAAAAAAAGCTTGTGGAAAGAGCCAAGTCACTACGGTTGTACCTTAAAAAGTCAGCAAAGCTAAGGCTTCATGTGTTATATATCCCTTTGATTGAGCAACAACTGCATCAATCTTTCAAAGATTACATAGCTATCTAGCTAGAAGGAGAAACTATATCATGCTTCCTTACTTCTATGATCCATTTAACACTACTAAAAGATTGTGTTTTAGACAGGTGAAACCAACCAGGAATGACTTTAAACAAGATAATCAACTGAAAAGGGCGATCTAAAATTTTGCAGGAATGTGTATAATAGCGCGCTTTAAGCATGTGAAAGATGGCATGCAAGATCAATTACACGAATCGATAATGAGGTTCTTGGGGTACCACTGATCCGATACTGAGATAGTGATATAGCTTTCTAAAATTGCTTAGAAATGAGCAACAGCTGCACCATTGGCTGAAATTAATTAATGTAACAAATTGGACAATTGTACAGCTTTGTATCCAGCAACCCAAACAGTAATGTACAGCACTATATTATTTTCATCATCTATCTATGCAATGTAACCATGACTCTGAGGATCTCATAATATAGACAAGGACATGTAAATGAAATGCCATATTGAAGAACGGTTCAACATGGGATTATCGCATAAATATACTAGTAACATAAATAGCAAGGGTAGCAGCAGTTTCTTGTGCAACGGGAGAATATGTGTACCTTTGGACATTTAGGACAACGGCATGTACATCTATCTACTGCAAGAGCAATCGGGGCATGAAGGAAATTGAAGGCGGCAACAACTTCTACTGCAAGAGATTTTGTTAAAGCATTGGGAGTGTGGCCAGATGCAACACTGGAACTTGGGTATTGAACAACTGGTACATGAAAGGTAGTTACTTGAATTGCACTTGCAACAGTGTGGCCTTTGAAGACAAGGCAAGCATTCATAGCAGCAGCTCCATGAGATATTGAAGCAGGACATTCCACTGCACACCATGAGAGAAGCCAAGATATTAAGACTAGTTCAAATTTGCATTGAGCAAGACAGGGATGCAAAAAGGGGATGCAAAATGTCTCCGTTTTGTAAACTTTTCATCATGCAGCACTAGTCTAAATTTAACAGTTAAGACAATTGTTCCGTATAATGGTAGAATATTATTTTACATATCGACATAAGTTCTCACATAACAACATTTGTCAATGGACAAAATAAGTAGGAAGAAGAAGATGAAGGCCATCATCCCATTTTGCCCAATCTTAAAACGTACTTTGAAGAACAGATCATTTTTACTAGCACCTATAGAACAAAAGGGTAATTACAAAAAGACTAGAAGAGCCTACAGAAGATTAAAACACAAGAATACAATGGGCTCTTTTTATCATTTTTATCTCGTAATAAAAGATATCTCCTTCATTCTCATGTTGACCCGTTGGACTGAAAATCTAGGAATTGAGTCGAGCCACTTTATTTTTTCCAAATGGCAAGAACAAAAACAATGCATCTTAGTATATACTAACCACTGTTTTAAGTAATGTGATAATCTTCAAATAGCAAAGGCATTTATTCACGAAACATATCGAGTGTGTACTCAAAGAAAATGTAGCGTTCCCTTTTTATTTCTGAGCTACACATCGACTGAGAGCACAAATAACACCAATTCACACACACACACACACAAATACATAACAAAAAGAGATGGGAGGTACCAAAGCCATTTCCAGAGGTAAGACCTACAAATCTTTCGAGTTCTGAAGTGAAAAAAAAAGGATTAGAAAGAGAAAATGCAAATTTCAGAGTTCTACAGATCTTCAAAGAAAAAGGTTATTGATAAGTTTCTTACGTAGGGAGTAAGGGATCTGAGTTTGCCACTACAAAATCAGCAACCCTGCCAAATTGTCAAGTCCAATCAATTTTGGGTTAGGTAAAAACCAAAGAACAGATATCACCACAAAGTCCACTTTTTCCTCTAGTTTACAGAAAGAAAGCTATCAGGCAGAAATTTCACATAATAATTTGTCGAATAGATGCTATATGAGGCAACTGCAAGTTCAATGACATACTCTTTACAATATCTGGAAGCAGGTTGAAAGCTTTCAACAGCTTTAAATTCCTCCTGCTTACAACAAAATTTTGATTAGATTTCAAATATGATCAAGTCATAAGATGGAGTAAAGAAAAAAGAAACCAGACTTAATAAAAAATAATTAGGCATGATCTTATCTCTGGCTGTAAAGCCTTGAGAAAGATATGGACAAAGTGGAAAGACATAATGTCTTATTCTTGGGAACCTTACGCAGGAATTAATATGCAAATATTTGTAAAAATTCTAGTTCATGATGAATGCACAGTGTTGCCTCACAAAATTAAGAATATGGACAAACCCAATGTAGAGCATGAAATTTTTCAAAGGAGTGGAGACAGATCAATCGTTCTCCATTACATGGGATGCATAATCAGGAAACTGTCAACTACCTAAGGTACTAATCAGCATGAGCAAAACAAACCAAGGTACACTAAAAGAGCGCTGAGCATAAATGACAGCCTATGCAAATAGGAGAGAAAATGGTGAAAAAACAATCTAAAATGCTCATATTAATTTGATGACTTAAATGAGCTTGTCACCAATTATGACCTATTTTTCTGTACACTTTCATCATACGATCTTACTAGCACAAGTTCTATATGTGGTTTCAGAATCCAATATATTGAAATATGAAAGAACATGGTTAAAACAGCAATGTAAAATGCTACTGGGAGAACAGAGAGGAAAGGACCATCCTCCATGTTTCTCATTGGCAAAAAGCAAAACACAGGAAGGATGCATGCAAATTGTTAATTCTAATGCCTCTGCTCTACAATTGGTTTGCCAGAGATTGCAGAGTGCCAACAAAATCCCCAATTCACCTCACCTATTTCATTACTTGGACCTAATTTTCTGAACTCCCACAAGGAGACATTTAACATTATGTATCAGGTGGTGAAAATCCTCCACAGTCTATAACTACATAGAAAGGCTGAACACTTAATTAGTAATTAAGCTAAAGTAGTTGGAAAAATATACCTATATAAATTGTAAGTAAATGTTCATAAATTTATGGCATTCATTGTCCAATCATGTATTCTTTTTTTGATCGCGGTATCTAATCATTTTTTAATCCTAATTCGAGCTCTACACGATTATCAATTCTCATACATACTATATAACACATCTAATTAATGCATTTTTTACAAAATTTAGTTCATTGTAAGAAGGTTAGGAGACCCAATACTAATTTTGGCTTTTCGCAGTTTGTACCCCAAAGATTTTAAATTTTTCATTTTACACTCGCAAAGATTAAATGAGGGCCACATTGCAACACTTTTGAAACATTGAAGTGAAGGTAAAAAATTTAATCTAGGTATAAAATAAAAAATTTAAAATCTTTGGAAGTACTAATCCTGTATCAAGGTTCTATCTTTAGCACCTTCTGATGCAAAAGTTGAGTTTGAATTCAAAATGAAAATTGCAAAAGAACTCGACAAGAAAAAAGAGCAAGTAAAAAATACCAAGTTCTAAAGCACACCAAAATGAAAAGCAAAAATGAAAAAGAACTGGACAAGAAAAAGAGAGAAAATTGAAGTCCTAATGCATTTATACCAGTACATTAATGGCAGAACAAGGAAACATAAGCACTAAAACCAACCAACCAATATGTAAGTCAAGTAAGTTGTAAGCTAATTAACCTCAAGAAAACCAATCTCCGCCTCCATCATCTGAATTCTAGCCAGCTCCCGGCGCTTACCGTACAAATTCGGACACTCAGGTGGTGGCTTAGGGCGCGGTGGTGGCAGCGACGGCACCAAAGAAGAGCCACCCGCAGGCGCCATCGATCATATATATATATAGGCAACTTCTTTGCTTAGAGTGTATATGTGCTGTTTTTATGTTTGTATATTTGTTAGCAATCATTAACAGAGCGGTATATAACGCAAAGAAGTAAGAATAGAAATAACCACTACCAGTCTACCACTATCACTCCATTTTAACTATTGGTAGCAGCAACATTAGGTGGAGAGAGAGAGAGATGGTAATGTGCCAAGGAGGTTATGTATGGAAAAGAGAAAACAGAGGAAATAAAGAATAACGCGTCAAATGAAACTCATAAAATTATCCTATAACTTAAATCCATATTTATTGGATAAATGAGTTGCGACAATTTTTTCAGTGAAATTCACTAATTTTATATTCATTTAAGGGATGATATATATTTGAATTTGATTTTTTAGATTTTATTTAAATTATGTAGTATTAGTTATTTACCGTGCTTGAATGCACGAAATAATAAAAAATTGTTAACAATAAACATATTTGTATTCATACTCAAAATCAAATTATAAAAATAAAAAAAAAACAAATAAATTTAAGCACCAATTGTAATAGGCGCGAGTGGTTGTGGTGGGGGCGGGGGGGTAGTGGGGGTGGAGGGAGGGAGTGGGGTAGTTGTGGGATGGTGATGATGGTGGTGGTAGTAGGGCTGTGGTGGTGATGGTGGGGTGGCGATAATAGTGATAATGGTGGTAGTAGTGATGGGGCAGTGGGGGGTGGTGGTGATGGTGGTAGGGATGATGGTAAGACAATGGTGGTGGTAGGGGTAAGGTGGCAACAATGGTGGTAATTGGAATAGTGTTATTAGGGCATTAGTGAGGTGGTGGTAACAGGGGATAGTGGTGTTAGGGCACTAATGAGGTGGTGGCGATGGGGCGCGATGGTGGTGGTAGTTGTCATGGTGGTGTATGGAGCAGGTGGGTGTGGTGGTCATGGGGGTCGACGACAATGGTAGTGGTGATGGTGGTGGTGGGGTGATGACAGCGGTGGTGGTAGGGTGGCGACAGAGGTGATGGTAAGGCGATGGGGATAGTGGTAGTGGCGGGGGGGGGGGGGGGGGGGGGGGGGGGGNTGGTAGGGTGGCGACAGAGGTGATGGTAAGGCGATGGGGATAGTGGTAGTGGCGGTGGGGCTGTGGGTGGGGTGGTGGGACAGTGGGTAAAAAATTACTTCAAACACATCTTTAGAGACTTATTTTATTTATTAAATTTTGGATGTTAATATTAGCCGTCAGATTAATTTTAAAGTAAAATTTAAAGAGATCTCAACCGCGAAAAGTAAAAGTTATTTTATTTATTTTTTTAAAATTTGAATTGTATTGTACTTTATAAATATATATTTTTCAAAAATAAAAATTCAAGTTTTTTTTTTGGTTATAGGGACGACTAGGTTTACGTTGATTACTTGTTTGAGCTCAATAGCTAGTCACCGTAATTTAAATTGTATTAGAGTGTGTCTCTAAAACAACGAGATTGATAGCCCTTAATTAATGTGAGAAGGGATTGTACCTAATTAATCAAAAATTGGACTCAACTATTGAATCACTCATAATAATTAAACAATAATTGAGGGAGTTTTAAAAGTTGACTAAATTCGTTATCATACCTTAATTTATTATATTTGTGATTATTTTATTATATTTATGAGTATTTTTTTTATTATTATGATATCTCAAAAAATAATAAAAATAATTATTATAACAATAATAAAAACATCCACGAATATGATAAAACACCCAAAAGAAAAATAATTTATTTTATATGAAAATAAAGTGATAAAAATAATTACCACAAATATGATAAAAATATCAACAACATTGATGAAATTACCCATAAAAATTATAAATTATTTACAAAATAATAAATTTTTTAATTATAAAATAACTTACAAAAACTATAAAAATATTTTTTTAAATAATAAATTTTAAAATTATGGTGCTATTTTTTTTAATGGGTACCTTAGTGAAATCCAAAACTGAAGTTGCTGACCTGACCCCAGTCCCCAAAAGTTCTTCCAAGTAAAAACAAACGGCAATAATCACTGCAGAGTCTCAGAACTTGCAGTACATATCCATACATGTCCACGTGAATGAATGAATGAATCATTCATTAATGCAAGACTTTTCATTTTCACTGACACTAATATGTATGTTGATGGGGGATGGTATGCAAGTAACTAAGTAGATGAAGAACATCAGGTATGCCAAAAAATATACGGTACCATTGAAATTTATAAATTTTTGGGTTTATTCATAATAAAAAAAAATATTTACAACTTTTTAGATCAATTATAACCTAATTTTATGGAGTTTTTCACAACATTTAGGTGTTATTTGTGATTGATGTTAGAATTTTAAAAATTAACTACGAATGACCCACAAAAATTGTAAATGAGGACATGACCCAACCCTCTTGAAATGGATGGTGTACGTATATAATCTGTATGCACGTACTATGGAGTAATGTAGACAGACATGATGTCTCACGAGACAACACATGAATTTTAGAAAAAAAAAATAATACCAAACAATCCACAGCTAGTGATGGAATAGATTTTAGCAAGGGTNTATAAATGAGGACATGACCCAACCCTCTTGAAATGGATGGTGTACGTATATAATCTGTATGTACGTATTATGGAGTAATGTAGACAGACATGATGTCTCACGAGACAACACATTAATTTTAGAAAAAAAAAATAATACCAAACAATCCACAGCTAGTGATGGAATAGATTTTAGCAAGGGTATCCGAAGAATGCTTTAGTCCAGTTGTCGATCGAGGTCCAACACAACACAAAGAGATGAGTTAGAGGTCCCATTGGCGAGGTGTCGGTGGAAGACCCTCCAATACCTAAATCGGTAAAAACTGAATATATGAAACATACTATAAGTAGATAGAGAAAGTACGTGGGCTTGGAGGGTGACCTCCCAGCTGCCCGGTTGTGTGTGTCTTTCCTTGTTGGTTGTCAAGACTTCTATTTTATAGTGGGGATGGCTGATGGTAATGATGTCCCCTTTGAGTGTCTTAGTGGACAATAGTGTGTGGTTTGTCTAGCTACAACATTCTCTTGTACCCATCACTCTTTTTGTCTTTTAATTAATGAACAAAACATATACCATCCATCAGCTAGAGAGATGGAGGTGGGAGGGAGGAAAGTGTGGGTGAGGTGATTACAGGGTGACGGAAGGGGTTCTTGTTTCGGATGGAGTTTGGCGGGGGGAGAATGGGGTGAGTTATAGAAGCTAATGAAACTTTTTAGTTCTTCTCTGAGAATACACTTGAATGCATGTGTCTATTCTATAGTCAATTTAAACCGTAATCAATGAATTCAGAATGGAGCTTCATAATGCTTTTCCAAAATTATTGTCATAATCACAAACCCTAGGATCTGGAGGCATCATACAAAACTTTCAGTACATATAAACACAGCATGAATTCATACACAAGTTAAATTTTGCTTAATACATGTTACCAGATATTGACTAAAGTCAAATAGGTGTGAAAAATGCAATCTCACTCGAACACCGAGACATCTCCATTCCAACTACATGAAGCAATCACATTAGGCATGACAGGATGGAAAGCAACATCCATGCAAGCTTGTTCATACGCCTTCATTTTTTTCACAAGCTCAGAGGATTTAGAGTTGTAAAAGTAAATGCATCCATCTGAGGAGCCAGAGGCAATTTTTTCTCCATCCAGGTTGAAATTACACTTGATAGGGAACCCAGAAACGCTATGGCTTTCATATCTCCTGTACTTGTCAAGCTTGAAGGGTGGTTTGGAAGAGAAGATTGCAATGTAATTTTCCATTTGACTGAGCGACAAAATATGGATCAAAAGGGTGGATTCTAATGCATGGACAAGTATACGCTTCCACATAAACCTGAAGAGAAACATATGAGCTTTAATGGATCTCATCTGGAATACAGGAACCAAATAGACTACTCAAAAATAAAAAGTAAACTCAAATAATCAAAACAATAGCCATAAAAAATATACAAAGCAGAAGTCGTAAGTACAAATAAGGACAACCAGTGCACGCCGAGTCGGGGAAAGTAGATGTACGCAGCCTTATTCCTACATGTGGAGAAATTGTTTGTGTGACTCAAAGCAGTCAAAGCCCGCTTTCAAATCAAATATATATAAACAGTTTACACAAAAAAAAAAATATATATATATATATATATATATAGNCATAAGTACAAATAAGGACAACCAGTGCACGCCCATCATTAGAGTCAGGGAAAGTAGATGTACGCAGCCTTATTCCTACATGTGGAGAAATTGTTTGTGGGACTCAAAGCAGTCAAAGCCCGCTTTCAAATCAAATATATATAAACAGTTTACACAAAAATATATATATATATATAGTAGCCAATACATCACTGAGCACATTCCAAATCCAGGCCAACCTCCTCAGGATTGCAGACATGCCATGCCAAACATATAGATATAGTTTCAGTTCAGTTCAGTTGCAGACTGATTCTACCCCGCATGTGCAGTTCTTTATCAACTAAGCCAAATAGTCTTCATCTACTAACAATTAACNTGCCATGCCAAACATATAGATATAGTTTCAGTTCAGTTCAGTTGCAGACTGATTCTACCCTGCATGTGCAGTTCTTTATCAACTAAGCCAAATAGTCTTCATCTACTAACAATTAACTAGTGCCCAACAAGAAAAGGGGGAATAGAAAAAGAAAATAATAAGTAAAACAGAAAGAACAGAAAGAAAGAGAAGCAAGAGCCAAAATAAGGAGACAATTCTTACATACACTGATCTCTGCGAAGCAAATGCAATCATATCCATTTGAAAAGTCTCAGACTAGTCACATAATCAGGCAATCATACACACAGAAGTATGCAAAACAAATGGAGCCAACTCTCCATTTGAACATCCAAATATCCATAGCACTCACTATTTGAGTGGATCATAATAATGAGGAAATCAATTCCCTATCTTTTTAGCTAGAAAATGGAACTTCCCATTGGTCTGCTTAGTTAACAGGGATACATATGCTTGAAAAGTAAAGTTCAACAGTTTTAGTTCACCTTTTCAGTTGATCAATTGCTGCATATGTGACTGCATTGATGCGCCTACCCAGCCTATATATATATGAAGAGAGAGAATCGTCACCAGATTAGTGAAACGCGTACAATCATTGATCCATCCTATACATAAACTCTCACATCTAGAACTTCTATATGAGATATCAATTTGGAGACCACCAAGATTCCTGTGGATGAGGCTTGGGGATCAGTCCTCTCATATCTTTGGTGAACCATTATAATCTGATGGCTACAGAATATAAACGGCATTAAATCTAAGTAANAAAAATTATAATAGATTTTTAGTATAATAGAAATTTGAGAGTTTGATTATGAAACTCTTTTAAAATTTTAGTAGAAAAATAATTTTTATTTTGATAGGGAACTTGACCTATAAATAATGGTATAATCCCAACTACTTTAATTAGAGAGGAAGTAATATAATAAAAAGTGATTCTCTGTGAAAAATTTTGTGTGTTTCTTCTCCGATTCCTTACGAGCAAAGTTGTTAGTATCGTACGATACACGATACGTATCGTACGATACGTTACGATACAGCCCTAAAACGATACGGATCGTAGTTATGTATCGTTTTTGCGTTGTATCGTCCGATACACGATACGTTTTTACGATACGATACGTATCGGTACGAAACGCACGATACGTGCAATTTTTTTTTTTTTTAAACGACGTCGTTTGAAGTGTGTTGAATTTTTTTTTTCAATTCCCTATAACCACTGAAACGACGTCGTTTCAGTGGTTAGGGTTACAAAAAAAAAATTCAGACATTTCTCACATATATCAGACATTTCAGCCATCGACCGACGTCTGGTTTCTCTCAGCCATCGACCGATGTCTGTCGTTTCTCTTCAGCCATCGACCGACGTCTGTGGGTGGGTGATGATCGACTGTGGGAAGTCTTCGACTTGTAGGTGGTGATCGCTGTGGGTGGTCTTCGACTGTGTGGGTGGTCTATCGACGACGTCTGTGGTTTCTCTTCAGCCATCGACTGTGGGTGGGTGATGATCGACTGTGGGTGGTGAACGTTGTAGGTGGTGATCGCTGTGGGTGGTCTTCGACTGTGTGGGTGGTCTNTCATTTTTTTCACAAGCTCAGAGGATTTAGAGTTGTAAAAGTAAATGCATCCATCTGAGGAGCCAGAGGCAATTTTTTCTCCATCCAGGTTGAAATTACACTTGATAGGGAACCCAGAAACGCTATGGCTTTCATATCTCCTGTACTTGTCAAGCTTGAAGGGTGGTTTGGAAGAGAAGATTGCAATGTAATTTTCCATTTGACTGAGCGACAAAATATGGATCAAAAGGGTGGATTCTAATGCATGGACAAGTATACGCTTCCACATAAACCTGAAGAGAAACATATGAGCTTTAATGGATCTCATCTGGAATACAGGAACCAAATAGACTACTCAAAAATAAAAAGTAAACTCAAATAATCAAAACAATAGCCATAAAAAATATACAAAGCAGAAGTCGTAAGTACAAATAAGGACAACCAGTGCACGCCGAGTCGGGGAAAGTAGATGTACGCAGCCTTATTCCTACATGTGGAGAAATTGTTTGTGTGACTCAAAGCAGTCAAAGCCCGCTTTCAAATCAAATATATATAAACAGTTTACACAAAAAAAAAAATATATATATATATATATATATATAGTAGCCAATACATCACTGAGCACATTCCAAATCCAGGCCAACCTCCTCAGGATTGCAGACATACCATGCCAAACATATAGATATAGTTTCAGTTCAGTTCAGTTGCAGACTGATTCTACCCTGCATGTGCAGTTCTTTATCAACTAAGCCAAATAGTCTTCATCTACTAACAATTAACTAGTGCCCAACAAGAAAAGGGGGAATAGAAAAAGAAAATAATAAGTAAAACAGAAAGAACAGAAAGAAAGAGAAGCAAGAGCCAAAATAAGGAGACAATTCTTACATACACTGATCTCTGCGAAGCAAATGCAATCATATCCATTTGAAAAGTCTCAGACTAGTCACATAATCAGGCAATCATACACACAGAAGTATGCAAAACAAATGGAGCCAACTCTCCATTTGAACATCCAAATATCCATAGCACTCACTATTTGAGTGGATCATAATAATGAGGAAATCAATTCCCTATCTTTTTAGCTAGAAAATGGAACTTCCCATTGGTCTGCTTAGTTAACAGGGATACATATGCTTGAAAAGTAAAGTTCAACAGTTTTAGTTCACCTTTTCAGTTGATCAATTGCTGCATATGTGACTGCATTGATGCGCCTACCCAGCCTATATATATATGAAGAGAGAGAATCGTCACCAGATTAGTGAAACGCGTACAATCATTGATCCATCCTATACATAAACTCTCACATCTAGAACTTCTATATGAGATATCAATTTGGAGACCACCAAGATTCCTGTGGATGAGGCTTGGGGATCAGTCCTCTCATATCTTTGGTGAACCATTATAATCTGATGGCTACAGAATATAAACGGCATTAAATCTAAGTAAAAAAACAAGGATGGACAATCCATCTCCTCTTCTATCTCCCCTCCCCTCACCACACATACCAAAAGGAAAAAAAATCAGACGCCGATACCTTATGTTATGCTAGTCTACTAAACGGAATTTTCTTTTCTGGCATACATGCAAATTGAATTCAAATGAAACAAATAAAGGGAAACTCTTTAATTAGACTCCCAAAAAAAAAACCCAACCCAATAGATCTGATGTACCATGCTTTCTTAAATATATCAAACAGAGTAATGCAACACCAAAACACATATTTGAGGATGGTTTTTATCTTGATCAGCATAAATTGAGTCAAAACTGAAATGTGAACAATTTTGAGCATCTTCAGAACCATTTTTAAAATCCTATTTATTGTAAGAACTAAGAAGTAAAATCACACCGGTTGATAAGAATTGCCCATGAAAGGAAGCATCAGTTGGGAAACATAAAATCTACTATTCACAAGTCCATCCGCTAACTCCATTACACAAGAAGACAATCAACTGATGTTGAAAAAGAAGCCGCATCTATAGTATTCTTTTTATAAAACAAAAGGAAATGGTTGATGTATATTACCTGATTAGATAGCGGAACTTGCCGCAAGACATCCCAAACAATGATTGAATTTTCGCTGATATTGCCTTTGGATTCATCACAGGAAGAAATAAATTGCTTTGCATCAGTGGTGAATTCTACATCAAGGATTGGACCAAGACCTCGTCTATATTCATGGACCACCTTCCCAATTCTAATATCCCATAATTTAATGAGGCCCTTTGAACCACCGGAAAGAAAAAGGTCGGAGTTGTTTGGATGAAATTTTACGACTCCAACAACCTGATCCTCCTTGAAAACCTGAGCCTCTAATCCCTTTTCAATGTCAATTAACCTTGATGAGCAGTCATACCCACAAGAGAGCAAGAACAGTCCCTGCTGTGACCACTTCACATCTTTCACACCTGCATTATGATAGTTAAAGACGCAAGCTTTCTTATGATCTCTGCTCCATACATTCCATACACAGATGCTATGATCCATTCCGGCAGATGCAAGCAGATGAGCTGAAGACTAACTTTATTGAACAGATCAGAAAGTCACTGAGCTGTAGACCAACTTTATTGAACAGAATAGGAAGGCACCCATCATGTATGGTAACCAAAACATATCATGTCTTGTAGTTAATTTAAAACAATTTACATGACACCCTGCAACTTGAATCTAACAATAAGATAAACTAAAAAGTATGGAACTGAACTCAAACACAGCTGCTCTGATGCTATACTACCAAGAGATAATATATCAAGAAAGCTATTAGAATTTGATTGGGTGATTAAAGCATTCATAGTTCCTAATACAGCACCACTTCGCGTTGTTTACGAATATAAGCTTCGTAAGTTTCCAAAGATATGTCCTCACATTAGTAATTTGATGAAAACAAAATCACAGCTTTTTCCATTCCTTTCTATACTTAAAATAAACCATGGCAAACTTAGGGTACAACTCAAAAGTCCATCCAGTAGATGTAAGCACTTCTCAAATAGATAAGATTTTTTGGTGTCCAAAAAAATTTGAACTTATCAAAAAGTGCATCTTAAAAATGCCCATTCTAGAGAAGTCTCTTAGGGAAGCTTTTCAAAACCATGATATTGAATTTCACATTGCTCTCCAAAATTAGCTTTAATTTTTTTCATTAAATATTTGTTTTAGCCTTGCTTCATAGGTAGTTTACATACCTCATATTATAAGGTAGAAAGTAAAAAAAAATATATCGTATTAGAACACCAGTTATAGATAGACATGACTAAATAGTTGTAGATAAACATGACTAGATGCAGATAGACATGACTAGTTATAGATAAACATTGGTTCAAAAGCACTTCTACAGTACACTTTTACCAACCAGTTAGGCATTTCAAAGAGTCTATGTTAAAAAGTCTATTTTAAAAAGTCCATCTTAAGGAAGGACTATTACTTTGAGAAGTTACGCAACCAACCNAGTCTATGTTAAAAAGTCTATTTTAAAAAGTCCATCTTAAGGAAGGACTATTACTTTGAGAAGTTACGCAACCAACCTTAGTCTTCAACTGATAATGATATTCTTCTAATTTGGTCATCCTCGTGTTTGTCTTTCACCTAGACTTCCTCTTTCATTCTTAATGATGCCGGTGCATGCCATATATCTCTTGATGGTGGATTCACTTATTTCACTGTCCACCAAGAAAGGAGAAAGTCCCATTATAGGACTTGGTGGAGCCACCCAAATCATTTTATTAAAATGTTTTTTCCACCTGTGCCACTAATGGCTTACCATCATAGTTGCAAATCTAGAAATTGCCAAAGACTATGTGGTTTAAATTTTAAAACTGATTCCAAAGGTCTAATCCTACCTTCAGTTTTGTCACAACAATAACAACAAATGCATAACAAGCTACCCAACATCAACTAGGGGAAAGTAATATTTACCCTACCATTAGATAGATTTTCCAGTATAACTAGAATAAGAGTAGCAATTCTTATCTTCTTGACACTGTGCAACATGTAAGTCAAACAATGCAATTACATGTGTGATAGAAATCGAAAAGGGATTGGATGAGCTTAAAATGAAGAATTGAATTTTATTATTTGTTTAGTATTATTTTATTAGTTAAGGAATATTTGTTTGATTAGGAGTATTAATTAGAATTTGATTAANTTTTATTATTTGTTTAGTATTATTTTATTAGTTAAGGAATATTTGTTTGATTAGGAGTATTAATTAGAATTTGATTAAGAAATTATAATAGAGTTTTAGTATAATAGAAATTTGAGAGTTTGATTATGAAATTCTTTTAAAATTTTAGTAGAAAAACAGTTTTTATTTTGATAGGGAACTTGACCTATAAATAATGGTATAATCCCAACTACTTTAATTAGAGAGGGAGTAATATAATAAAAAGTGATTCTCTGTAAAAAATTTTGTGTGTTTCTTCTCCGATTCCTTACGAGGATGAGGTAAATCCCTTTCACCCCTTATTCTTGCTTCTTCTTTTTCTATTCTTTGATTTTGAATCCATCCTGTCCTACATCAGTTTGGTATCAGAGTTCAACTTCGATCATTCTCAATTGTCATTGTATTTTTGAGATTTGTCTAACATCTTGTGCTTCAGCCCTTTGTTTTAGTCCTAAAATCCCATCCTAACTTGCTAAAAAAATCCAACCATGTAACCCNACGAGGATGAGGTAAATTCCTTTCACCCCTTATTCTTGCTTCTTCTTTTTCTATTCTTTGATTTTGAATCCATCCTGTCCTACATCAGTTTGGTATCAGAGTTCAACTTCGATCATTCTCAATTGTCATTGTATTTTTGAGATTTGTCTAACATCTTGTGCTTCAGCCCTTTGTTTTAGTCCTAAAATCCCATCCTAACTTGCTAAAAAAATCCAACCATGTAACCCTTAGATTTTTGAAATTATAGATTTGGGCCCTAAAATTTTTGAAATTACACTTTCATCCCTCAAAAGTTTTAAAAATTACACTTTGGCCCCAAAAGCTTTCTGAAATTATAATTTAGCGCTAAAACTTTTGGTAATTTTTCAACTCACTTATTCCATCAAGATGGTTGTCAAAGCCAAATTAAATACTAAAGTGGAGGTTTTATCCCAAGCACAAGTTAATTCGCAAAAAGCCATAAATGTTAGACTAGATTCAATTTGAATATCTATCGATTCAGTGAAAAAACTTGTGATAACTTATATTATGTTATTGAAGAGAAATTTTACTTCTATGCTATCAGGCTTGAAGATGTGGTTTACGGTCTGATGTCAATTTTCTTGAAGTATCATTGCTACAACAACTCTTCGGATAACAGTTTTTTTCAGCCGAGAATAATTGATAGAGATCAAAAAAGGATTGGATAAAATTAAATTAAAGAATTGAATTTTATTATTTGTTTAGTATTATTTTATTATTTAAGGAATATTTGTTTAACTAGGAGTATTAATTAGAATTTGATTAGGAAATTATTATAGATTTTTCGTACAATAGGAATTTGAGAGTTTGATTATGAAACTCTTTTAAAATTTTAATAGAAAAATAGTTTTTATTTTGATAGGGAACTTGACCTATAAATAATGATGTAATCCAAACTATTTTAATTAGAGAGAGAGAGTGATATAATAAAAAGTAATTCTCTGTGAAGAATTTTGTGGGTTTTTTCTCTGATTCCTTGCGAGGATAAGGTAAATCCCTTCCACCCCTTATTCTTGCTTCTTCTTTTTCTATTATCTGATTTCTAGTCCTTCCCGTCTTATATCAATGTGTCTATGCATGACCTTTTAGCATGACAAACCCGCATTGATGCGTATCCCTCGTTCAAGAAATAAAGAAGAGATATTCAAGGAGATCGCCAGCAGAAAAATGAAGCATTCAATTTCCCTCTTCTCGGCAAGGGCATTAAATGCCTAGGTATAGGAGTCTTTAATGCCCTTCACTTCTCGGCCCCCATGCCGTAATCGCTGTCTTATCAGGAGGAGGATTCATTAAATTATTACTTGCTCTAGTCATGTGTTAACAAAGGTATCCATATCTTTTTGCTACTGATTTGATATCACATTCCACGCGTCCACAACTCTTTGGCTGTATGTCTTGCATTCCTACGCCTCCTGACACCANGCTCTAGTCATGTGTTAACAAAGGTATCCATATCTTTTTGCTACTGATTTGATATCATATTTCACGCGTCCACAACTCTTTGGCTGTATGTCTTGCATTCCTACGCCTCCTGACACCATGGAGCAGAGTGTCTTCATGATAGCTAGCCTAACCTGGCCTAGGTTAGTCATCTGTCAATTATTAACTTTTATAGAAACAGGAGAGATGAGATTCAGCGTGTAGAAGAAATATTTCGACGCCGAGAAATAGTTGTCTTCCTCGGAATAGAGGGTTTTCGCCGAACCGAGAGAATATGTGTCAGTTACACCGTTTGGAGGGTTCAACTTTGAGCTTTATCGCCTCGGCAGAAGGGGGTGAACGGCGTCGAGAACACGTGGCCATACCTTATTAGGAATATAATGATATCGAGCACACGTGTCGCCGATATATCTCTTTCCAGAAATGTACCATCAAGAACCTGGTGATGTTGTGACTGGAATTGGCGGGATAAGGTTTGGAGTCGTCGGAGCCGAAGCCAAGACTGCTCGTTCTCTCTTCGATATGTACCTGCCGGGAAGAGGAGTTTCGGTGGGGAGATTCGGGTTGTGGGTCGGGCGACATACGGGCAAAGGCTTCGTGATTGGACAAGGGTTCTGGGGCTTGGGTCGCTTGGATGGAGGCAATACGGTTCTTCCATGATCGGGTTCATCGTCGACGTCTGAAGCAGTAGAGTACGCGTTGCAGAGAAGATCCATGGCCATCTCAACTCAATGTTCAGAGCTCCGACGAATTTTCATTCTTAAGGTATTTATATGTCCGTTGGGTAATAAGTAAACGGGTAGGGGTATTTTTGTCATCTAAAGTGACTAAAACTGCATAGTTTCTGAGAAAATACATGATAGAAATGCAACTCAAACTAGTTGGACCAATGAGAGGTCACCACTAGTAGGGTGCGGATGAGTCGGATTATTCACGAGTTTTGTTATTTGACNTTTTGTATTAGTAATGATACATGATAGAAATGCAACTCAAGCTAGTTGGACCAATGAGAGGTCACCACTAGTAGGGTACGGATGAGTCAGATTATTCACGAGTCTTGTTATTTGACAAAAAAAAAATATCTAACATTTTATAAATTTGATAATTAGTCTACCTGAGTCCGAGTCTAATGTCCTTAAAAAAAAGGGCTTGAAATTGCCCTAAAAAATCTATTAAAACCCCGTCTAAGACCCCGCCCAAAATCCTATCCGCCAAGTTCAGCCCACACATCCTATTTTTGAAAAAAATTATATTTTTAAATAATTAAATTTGAAATTTTAAAATAAATCTCTCAATGTTAGAATTTGAAAATTTAAATACTATAAATATTGTATATATATGTTTTTTTTATGTATTAAGCATAACTTTT